GTTGCATGCCTGGGACAAAGGCCCATAGCCCACCAGGTGAGACCTGCCACTGCAGAAGCCCTGTGGGGCTTGGCGTGGGGTCTGGAAGGCCTGGCGTCCCCTTTGATTCTGCCCTTTCTGTTCCCCCACCCCCACCCCCCGCCCTGGGCCTCAGCAGCTCCTGATGTCCCTACCTCCAAAACATGCCCTGAATGGGCACCCCCCATCATCCGTCTCCTGGCCTCCATCCTCTTTGCCCTGAGCTCCTGCTTGCCCTCGTCCATGGCTGCAACCCCAGCTGCTATGGAAACCTCCAGACGCACAGATTGGATGACTTCCCTGCTCGGGAGCTGCCGTTGATTTCCTTTCATACCTAGAATGCCGTCTGAACGCCTACCTCGTCTTCCAGGGAGGGCCTGTGGGACCTGGCCCCCAGCCCCTGGGTTTTCGTTCTGTTCCTCAAACTCCACCAGCTTCTTCCCACCTCTGGGTGTTCACATTTGCTGTTCCGTCCTGGATTGCCCTTGACCTGCCTGGTTCCTTCGCATCATCCACTTCTTGGCTCGCAGAGCCCCTTCCTCGCACCCACATTCACACTACAGATGTGCCCCCGGAAGGCAGGGGAGCTTATCCACCTTGTGATTCTCACTGCCCCCCTGTCTTTAGGGCCTAAAAGAGTATGGAAAAATTGGTGGGTGTGCAGGAAGTCGATGAATGAATGAATGAGTAAATGAACAAGCCTCCGGTAGCCATTCCTAGCCATGACTGAGGTTGTCCTTCACCACATACCCCCTTCTGTTCAGCCACGTTGCTTGGGGCTGGCCCGGATGGGTGTTAGAACAGCTCAGCAGAGCTGATGGAGGGGCAGTTCCCCAGTGGCCGTGCAGGGGAGCGTTGAAGCGTGCGTCCTCTGAAGCAGGGTGAGCTGCAGGTCAGCTGCAGAGTGGGAAGCCTGCCCTGCCCCGGGAGAGCCCAGTTCTCTCTCCTGCCTTGGTCAGGCTGTCAGCCACCGGCCACTGCCTGGGGCTTTGGGAGTGCTTTTGTCCAGCCTGTCTTTCTGTCCGTCCAACTGCCGCTGGACTGGCTGATCTGGGAGGCCGGTGCTCTGTGTGCAGCATGCCAGCAAGCATGGGTGAGGGGTCCAGGCAAGGGCTGTCCCCTGGAGTCCCAGGAACAGAGCGGAGCTGAGGGTGTGGTCGGGCTCAACCAACCGGGGGCCTGGCCTTCCAGGGAGGGCTCACTGCGCCTGCCTTAAAGGAATGTTCTGTGGTTGGTGGGGTCAAGGGTAGAGGAGTCCAGTTCCATCAGAGGCTGGGGAGAGTGAGGGAGAGCCATGAGTTCCTGCTCGGTTTTCCTTTGCTCTGCCAGGAAAGTGGGATATGATGCTTCCGGGGTGGGGTGGGGAGTGGCCGCCCTGTCATCGGGCAGCCTATTTTAGCCACTTCCCCAGAGCTGAGTCATTGCACTTAGCAACGCCCCCTGCCAAAGACACAGCTCTCTTTGGCACGATCCCCTTCCTGGTGGGCTCTTAGGTCTCCTGACCTGCCCCCAGGACTGGCCCCGGGCCACCTGCTGGTCCTTAATCTTGGTATTTATCACCCCCACATTGTTCTGTGTTCAAAGCTTAGTGTTCTCACCAGCCCTGAAGCCTGCCCCATCTGGTCTGAGCTCTAGGATTCCAGAGACCCAGACCTTGGCCCGGCTCCAGGACTCCTTGCTGGACAAGTGAGATGCGTAGGTGACTCCATACAGGCCCCAACTCTCTCGAGACTTTTTCATGCTGGGTATTGGAGATGGTTTGGTTTTTTATAAGCCAGAAAGCCTCATTCCTACCCCCGGGGAGTGAGACCACAAGCAGCAGATAGCATTGGCTAGACTTTCGCTTTCTTTCTGGGGTGTAGGGCCAAGCCGGGTACTGGGGCCCTGGGGGCTGGCCTGCGGATTTCCCTGCTGGCCTCTCTTACCTCTTCTTCTGTTTTACCCGCCAGGATAGAAGTGGGGGCTGATGGGACCCTTCTGTCCCGTAGTTACGATGGCCAGAGTACCAGGTCCCTGTGAGTGGCCACAGGGCTCTTCACCAGGTCTGCTGAGGCCCTGGCAGTTGGGTCTGTGGTTCGTATTTCTCTTCTCTGTGAGGCCCACTTCAGATCGGGAAACCACAGTGCTGGATGGAAGCTGCTCAGTGGGTCTGGGGATTCCTGCTGTTACATCAAAACCCTTAACGCAGCTCTGGAAATTCATGTCATGTGTTCCCACGATTCTAGCCCTTTATGTCCCCTGCCCTGCCTCCCCTCTTTTTTTTTGTTTACCTGGTAAATAGCATAAGCTTTAGTTTCATAGCTGTGTTCTCGACCCGGGGCAATTTTGCACCCCCCTCAGTATACCTGTTTTCTGGGGCTGCCCTGGGTGTCCCTTTCCTCCCAGCTCTTTGAGATCCCAGGACTCTGTGACCAGAGGCAGGCGCTAGACTACAGGCAGGTTGCAGACATGAGCCCTTTCCATTCTTGCCTGGTGCCCACAGAAGCCTGAGGGATTCCCTAGTATCAAGATGTCGTTAGAAACCTGGTTTGGTTTCCTTCTGCTCCTAGCAAGTCTGAGGCCAACTGCAGACTCCCTTTCTCTTTTTTAGCCAAAGAAAGTTTTCCCCCAAAAGTTGGCCTGTGAACTCATGGTCACATAGGGTGACCCTCTTCTGAGAAGTGGCGAGGGGATGAGCCTGAGGCCAGTAGTTTCCATGAGTGTAAGAGTCAGCAAACTATGGCCCATGGGCCAAATCTGGCCCACAACTTGTTTTTATATATAAAGTTTTATTGGGACACAGCCATACCCTTTGTTTACATAGGGTCTGTTGCTGCTTTCCTACTAACTACAAAGACGGTATCTTCCACGAAGCCAGAAATCTTGAGTCTCTGGCCCTTTATAGAAAATGTTGGCCAATTGGTCTAGCTGATGCATGTCTAATTATTTAGAGGTTAGATCCCAGGACGTGGTCTGGAGGGAGGATTCAGGTTAGGGGTAAGGGAAGCTAAGTCGCCTGAGGGTTTGGTGGGGAGAAAGAGGAACATGAGGAGGGAGAGCTGACTGGCCATAGTGGGTCATCTCAAGGCCATCCAGGAGAGTCCTCCCCTGGCTCGGAGCCCAGCCCAGGTCACTGGTGTGGCAGGTCTGCCCCAGTGCCTGGCTCCCGCCTCACGTCCTACAGGACTTTGTTTGCCGGAGTGACGAGCATAGGTCTGCCTGGGGCAGGCACGGGGTTGGGAGCCATCAGACTGGGTGTCAGCAGCTCTCTCACAAGGAGTGAGAGCACTGGGGCTGGTGGGGGGGTGGTGGTGGTTGGAGGACACAGAGAGGTTGGGCCAGGAACCCCAGAGTGGTCTGTAGGCTGAAGTGAAGCCCGGAGGGCAGGATGGAGGTGCTGCCTTTCAACAAGGTCTGCTAGATGGGCTTCAGCGGTGAGCAGGCCCCTTGGAACCCCCTCTGGAAGCTCAGAGTCCAGTGGGCAGATTACAGCCCCGTGGGTGGGAATAGAAGGAGGGAGCAGTGCCTGCGAGAGAGGGGGCATCTGGAGTGCTGGGTGGCTGAGAGGGCGTTTCCCAGAAGTGACGTCTCCACTGAGCCCGGAAGGACGTTGGGTGAGCCAGGTGACAGGGTACTCTAGCAGGGACCTGCATTTGTCCAGTCCTGGAGTCCAGAAGGCAGACGCTCAGGGGCTGGGGCCGAGTGCAGAGGTAGGGGGGCAGCAAGGAATGGCATTGAGGAGGGAGGGAGGGAGGGAGGCGAGGACTGGTGGCCAGATCCAGGGGTCTGCACTGGGGAGTCCTGGATGGGTTTTGTTTTAGATAAAAGGTGATGAATGGTCTGGAGAGGGACAGAAGGGGAAAAATGGGGATCTGCTGGGCTGGTGTCAGGGGCCAGGCAGGATGTGGTGGGCTAGTGGGAGGCAGCCTTAGGGGTGAGGAAGAAACCAATGGGGTTCCCATAGGTTGTGCTTTGCAGTGGGAAGGGTGGGCCTGCCGTGAAGGTAGAGTTGAGAATCGTTAGCAAGACTGGTGGCCGACACCACGTCTCCCCACCCTGCTCAGCCCTGCACTACTGGGTTTAGCATTTGGGGCAGGTCGCTCCGGAAGGGGAAGGGGCTGGTTTGGCTCCAACACGGGACCTCATTTCGGTGCTTGCCAGGAGCTGTGTGTGTGGTACCTCAAACTTTCAGACGGCCCAGGCTCTCCTGGGGTCCCCTCTGCTGATCTTCTGTTCTGGTTAGCTTCCCCCCCCTGGCCTGGGTCTGCAGATCTCGGGGGCCAGACCACCTAGTCCCTGCCTTCCCACACCCTTAATGATTAAAGAAATCAGGAGGCAGTCCTCTTCATCCCCAAGAGGCACAGAGTGAGTCTTCGGCAAAGAGCTTGGCCCCACAGTAGAGAAGTCATAGGCGGGGTCCTCATTTATGGGACACCCAGCAAGGACTGGAAGGCTGGGGAGCTGGTTCTGTGGGTCCCAGCAACCCCACCCCAATTCTGATTCAGAAGGTGAGCCTGGCCACCCACATCTGTGGAGATGCTGGGCAGCATCTCTGGGGCCCGTCCTGTTGGCTCCCTCCTCTGAGGGCTGTGACTCAGGTTAAGGTGTCCACTGACTTCAGAGATTGAGGTCAGACGGCAGGAAGAACTTACAGCATGTGTCCAACCCTGAGCTGCCGCATGGACTCGCTTGTGTACCTCCACATCCTTCAATGTGGTTGTGTTTGCTCTGGCAGCATCTTGGTTGGGGGGAGATGACATCCTTCTCCCGGGTTCAGGGAGAGCGTGTCTGACCTCCACCCGGATTTGTAGAAAGCGCTCCCCTAACCCGAGTGCCTGAGCGTGAAGAAGGACGCAGGGTTATGACACCAACTGCCGGCTTATTTCACGGTGGTTCGTTTTGGTGGGAGAGCTGAGGTTTGAGTAGCAGCCACTAGGCCGGTGGGCTTTGGTGCTGTGTGGCCAGCCAGGGTTAACCCTTTGCCTGCTCTTCTCTCCTTGCAGCCCTATGATCTCCTCCTTGTCACCCCCTCCACCCGCCGGACTTCAGATCTGACCCCCGACCCGCCTGCCGCCCTCGGGAGGCCCGCCCCCCAGCACGATGCCTATCCTCAAGCAGCTCGTGTCCAGCTCGGTGCACTCCAAGCGCCGCTCCCGCGTGGACCTCACGGCCGAGATGATCAGCGCCCCCCTGGGCGACTTCCGGCACACCATGCACGTGGGCCGGGCGGGGGATGCCTTTGGGGACACCTCCTTCCTCAACAGCAAGGCCGGCGAGCTGGACGGTGAGTCCCTGGATGAGCAGGCCTCCTCCTCGTCCTCCAAACGCAGCCTCCTGTCGCGGAAGTTCCGGGGCAGCAAGCGGTCGCAGTCGGTGACCCGGGGGGACCGGGAGCAGAGGGACATGCTGGGCTCCTTGCGGGACTCGGCTCTGTTCGTCAAGAACGCCATGTCCCTGCCCCAGCTGAACGAGAAGGAGGCGGCCGAGAAGGGCTCTGGCAAGCTGCCCAAGAGCCTGTCGTCCAGCCCCGTGAAGAAGGCGAGCGCCGGGGAGGGCGGCCAGGAGGAGGCGGGCGAGGGCGAGTTTGGGCCTCGGCGGAACGGGGCCGCCGCCCCCCACTCCCCGGACCCCCTCCTGGACGAGCAGGCCTTCGGGGACCTGACGGAGCTGCCCGTCGTGCCCAAGGCCGGCTTGGGGCTCAAGCACGCCGAGTCCATCATGTCCTTCCACATTGACCTGGGGCCGTCCATGCTGGGCGACGTCCTCAGCATCATGGACAAGGAGGAGTGGGAACCGGAGGAGGAGGATGGCGGTTACCTCGACGACGGGGCCGCGGCCCGCCGCGGCGCCCTGCAGGCTCCCGCGGTGGCCGGGGCGGCCCCTCCCCGGGCCAGGCAGGAGGGCGCGGCCGGCGGGGACCTGCCCCAGGACGAGGGGTGGGCGGCGGCCCCCAGCCCGGCCTCGGCCCGCAGCGAGGGCAGCCACACCCCGCGGGACAGCAGCTCCCTGTCCAGCTGCACCTCGGGCGTCCTGGACGAGCGCAGCCCGGCCTCCCGCGGCCCCGACAGGGCCCGGGCCCCACTGGCCCGGCAGCCCGACAAGGAGTTCTCCTTCATGGACGAGGAGGAGGATGAGGAGATCCGAGTGTGAGTGAGGGGCTCCCGCGGGGCTCCGTCTCCTCCCTGCCCCCGGGGCCGCCGCCCCCTTCCCTGCCCCGTCCCGTGCAGGGCAGCCAAGAACCCTGGACTCTCCCGGGCGCGGGGAGCTGGCGGCGGCTGCAGGGTGGGCGCAGCCCTGCTGAGCGCTGCGGGACAGGAACCGGCCGTCCCTTTCCTCCACCCCGGCCTCAGTGGATGCCACTGGCGGCCAAGTTCCTGCCTCGTCTGGCCGCCGCAGCTCAGCCCCGGGGTGGCCGGGGGCCACGGCTAAGGACGCTCGGCTCACCTTCCCTCTCCTGGCGTCTCTGCTGCGACTGGTGGCGTGTGGCAGGAGGAAGGGTGGTCACGGCCCCCGGCCCCTCCGTCCTTCATCCCCAGCTCCTGCACCACAAGCCTGGAGCCCCTCGGAGCAAAGCCGGACCAGATGTGTGCACTAAACGCAGCCCCTTCCAGGGGACAAGAACGGGACGGGGAACGAAAGGAGGCCCCGGGCTTCTTGAATTTTCTAGAAGGGGCTCTTTCCAGGATGACACTAGGAACAGGCTGGGCGCTCACTAGCTCGGCCCCTGTTGATTTGTTTGTTCTTCTTGTTCTTCTTGTTTAAATCCTTCCAGAGCGGTATCTGGAACAGTGTTAGCAGGTCTGCCGCCAGAAGGAAAATCGATCCTTTTAGAAAACCTTTATACTAAGTGCTTCCAAACTTTATTTAGAACTGTATGGGGTGGGTGTCCGTGCATGTCTGTCCCTCCTCCCACCCCATAGCTACTAACAATTGAAGGCAGCCGGTGTAGAAAATTTCTGGAAGATGATTTTTTTTTTTTTTAAATATATCATTCCTATGGAGGGATAAAAAGCTTTTTTGACTGGATTACCCCGCCCATACACACACACACACACACACACCCTCTTCCTTCAGGCCTTTTCTGCCGGCAGGACCCCCTCCCCCACTCCTGAGGGCCCTGAGGGTATAGAGTTGCCAGATTTAACAACAGAACAAAACTAGAATGCTGACATAAATTAGAATATCGGGCATACAGAGGATAATTTTTTAGTATCCAAGTATGCCCTGTGCCACGTTTGGAACATACTTATGCTAAAAAAAAAAATGATCGGTTCTTTTGAAATTCGAATTTCACTCTGGCCCTTATCACCCTGCGCCAGGGGATTGAGTGGGAGCTTGGGTGTGTGGCCCAGGGTTAACGGATGCTGATTTTCCTGTCCCCGGAATAAGCTAACCCACCTTCTCCTGTCCCCTTGTAGCGGTGTGGGGAGGGGACAGACACAAGTACCACGGGCCCCAGGCCGGGGCCGGCGGGCGTAGCTGCTCTGGTCTGCCGTGTTTTGTCAGATCCTGATCCAGACACTAACTTAGTTCCTGATTCCAGCGCTGTTTCTAGTTGCGCAGCTCCCACTAGGGGAGGAATGAGAAGGGGCCGTGCAGCCCCAGCCAGCTACCCTTGAACCCCATGCAGACCCAGTGGTCAGTTCCAGATTCTAAACTGTATATTTTTTTCATGGTATTGTTAAAACAGTGAGGAAACATTAAAAAAAAAAAAAAGCCCTGTGGCACGCCGGGTGTCTGTCTCTGCTTCTGGGGAGAGCTGTTTCGAGAGGTGGGTGGGTGGGGGTGAGGGTGCTGGAGGGGGGGTCCTGGGCTACCTGTGTTTTCATGGCACTCGGGGCCTGAGGTGGCTTCTCTCCCTGTCCCTTTGGGGCCCTCCCCTCCTGCGCTGCTCCCCAGCCTCTGGAAGCACAGGGCTCATGTGCCCGTCTGCCTGGGCAGGCCCTGGGGGCTCTGGGATTGTGGTGCCCACCCCCTGCCACTTCCCAGTTGGGGGACCTTGGCTACCTAGTCCCTTAGCTGCTCATCTGTGATACAGGAATCCTGCCTCTCTTAACAGGGCTGGGCTGCAGACCTAGTCACTGCAATGGGGTTGGCAAAGTTGTTACTAAACCAGGGGAGGCTGTGTGCCCCCCCAAGCCCCCAGGTGCCCACATACATGGGAGTGGTCACCCCCGGGGCACAGCGGGTGCCACGGCCGGGAAAGGGGCTGCCGTCCCTTCTTTCCCGGCCTTGTACTGTCTGACCTGGAGAATGACCTTCCAGGCAGCCTGTTCTCTGTCCAGCCTCGTGGCCTTCGAGGTGGACTGTTGTCCCTGTTTTATAGAAGGAATGTGCTCGAGAGGCTGCGTGGCCACCTTCCCCAAGACACGAAGTAGTAGAATCCGAACATCATGGACTTAAAACCCTGTACCTCGCTGCTCACAGGCACCTCGAAGCTTCATTCCTTCCGGAAGTGAGGTTGGGGAGTGAGTCTGTCCTGGGTGGGGATCTCGTGACCCCTCCGGCATGCTGGCCCAGCTCCTGCCTTACCACCTTCCCTTGCCCACACCCACGTTCCCCCCGCCTTCCCCCCGTGTTCCCCTCCACTCACCCTCCTTCCCACCTGGGGGCCAGTATGGCTGAGTTCCTGGAAACCCTGCCTCTCCCCTCGAGCAGCCACAGAGAGATTTGGGCTTGTGCTCATCCTCCCTGGGAAGCAATTAGAAGCATAATTAAAGTGTCTCCCGGGTCCCTTTGCCCCTTCGGGGGCTCACTCTCAGCTATTGAGGGATGTGGCTGAGGGTGGGGGTTAGAAGCAGGGTGGGGTGGGGGGACAGGGTCCCTGGGGGCTGCAGTCCAGCCGCAGGACTACTAGGGAGAGGAATGTGCTGTTCACTGAAGCCAGGCAGGTGCCTCCCAGACCGTGGAAACCCCCTGGGCCCACCCGCAACCCGTCACCCAGGATTCTTGAGGGCCTGAGAGAAGCCAGCCACCCTGAGGCCACAGACCTGCTTTTGGACTCTTAGAACAGTGCCTGCCAGGCAGGAAGACCCAGGGGCCTATGGAGAGAGCTGGCTGGACCCACACCTTTAGGAGCACGCTTTCTAGCTGGGGCTCCGTGGACCCACCAGAGGATGGGATAACCGGGCAGAACCAGCCTAGCCACACCAGCTCTAATCCCAGTTTGCTGTGTGGCGTTGGGCCACTGATTTTTCCCTCTGGGTGGCTTCAGTTTCTCCATTTTAAAGTTAGTCAACAGCTCGGTTGTGTTCAACTTTCTACCGGAAACTTGACAATGAGATCGTGTGTTGAACCCCTATCCATAAACAGACTGAGCCAGAGACTCCCCAGATGGGTTTGGGGTGGGGGGGCGTCCTTACTCTCTCCCCTTTGATCTCTGAGGCTCACCTGAGAACCCCAGGTCCCCTGCAGAGCATTTCTCCCCTTAAAGATGTGCTGTGGGGTCCCTTCTACCGCCAGGAACCCAAAGCAGGGGCCAGGAACTGCGTCCGGGCAATAATTTCGTCATTTTAATTCAGGTCACAGCTAACATTTCCAAAAATGTGGTGGGCCCCCAAAGTCTCCTGCTCTGGGCAGGGCTGTAATCCTAGCCTAAGGCGCATGAGCACCAGCCCACCCTGGTCTGGCCATCATTGGGGTGTTTCCCCTCCACCCCTGTGCCCTGCATCTTCTCAGGCACACGCTGTTCTGTCCCATTACTGCGGTGAGGGCTGGGTGTCAACCATTAGGACCGCCCTGTGCCCAGCATGGGCCTTTGTATTGGCCCTATTTATCCTCATGACAACTCTGGGAGGCCCATTCTGTCTGTATTACCCCCATTCTACAGACGAGAACACGAAGGCGACTGGGCACAGACCTGGGCACAGTCTCCAAAGCCCCTCTTCCCCACCACTGTCCCAACCTGATGAGTTGCACTCCGGGACCCGGGATGACCAGTGGGGCCAGTGAGCTGGCTGAGCAGAGCGGCGCAGGGAGACGCCGAGCTGGTCGGGGTGTGCCTGGCTCGCCTGGGCTGCGTGCCCCAGGGAAAGGGGGTGCTGCTTGCTGCCGGGTTAGGAGCTGGCGGCTGCTGATTCACGTCATCCAAAGGGCCCGCCAGGAAGTGCGTAGGTCCTTCCTGGGGCCCCTCAGGGCTGGCCTCTGTCTCAGCTGGGCAGGACCAGGCCTCACAAGCCTGCAGCCTCGGGCCTGGGTTCTTGCTGGTGTTCAAGCTCACCTTTGACTCCGTTCTCCCATGTGCACAAGCCATTCCCCCCCTACACCATGCTTCCAGAAGAAAGAAAGTGGACGAAAGGAATAGAGCGTGTCAGAACACATGAGGGAGGAGTTCTTAAGATCTTTGAATTGTAGGGCCTGGTTCCCTCTCCACCCACCTCCGCCCGGCATTTTACAGATGGGCAGACAGAGGCTGCAGGGAAGAAAGCTGGCTGTGTCCCGTGAGCAAAGCAGAGCAGAGACTGAGGTGGACTGGACTGGACGGGCTCTGGCACAGCAGACGAGGGGCAAGCCGAGCTGGTGCATCGTGTGGGCGCAGGTGCTCAGTGTCCGGAGTGTGTTAGTGGTGGGGGTGGCTGGGGGGGGGCTGAACTTTTCAGGTGTAGGTGGCACACCCCACCCATCCCTGGCTCACCCCAGCCCTCACAACAGCCTCCCAAAGGGCCCCGCCTTTGCATACTGGGGCAGCCCCCACCCCCACCCCCCCCCAACCCCGCCCCCGCCCCTGGACGGCACTGATGCAGAGTATCCCGGGACCCTGAAGGCCCCCACCGAAGATGTGGGAAAGGCAAGTTAGGAAGAGTGATGGGAGAGCTTGTCTAGCTGTTTCCCCTTGGCAACAGCCAGATGGGAGATTGGAAAGAGCGTTGGGAGGGGGAGGTATTTGCAGGCAGATGGATATCAGCGGCTCTCGCTCTAAAACCTGTTGCTGTAATCCACAGAACTGCTGTTCTCCAAGAAGGGAAACTCCCAGGAGGGGACCAGCAGAGCCCGGGATAGCTGCCTTCCCCAGCAGGACTCTAGCCTTGAAATGACCACTTGGCACATTATAAAATACCCGCCAAGGCCACAGGGCTCTGCTGAATTTTGTTTTGTTTTTCTGCTTTGTTGCCAAAAGGATTGGAGGCAGCTTACAAAAATATGTAAAATACAATAGGGTAAAAATAGATCAGAGCGAAAACAGGGCTGGAACAAACAGTACAGTGAACCAAGGGGGTGGTATGCAGAAATGTTCTCCGGGTGGGGCTCCACAGTTCTCAAAGGTGGGCTGCACATTGGACCCTGAGCTTCCCGTCAGTCAGAGTGAAAAGGGAAATCCACCCATTACAAAACTCACAAGTCCACAAGGTTAAAGGGATCCCAGAAACGACTCTGCTTTTTCTAAGGTCTGAGAGGGATTCTTGTGAGATCATTGAAGAAGCCAGGAACACCGTCTCGGGCAATGTCCTCATCAAGAGTCTCCTACCCCATACACTCACACAAGCCCCATCAGGCTGCCTTTCTGTTCAGTGTCAATTGAGCGCTTGATGCCGAGGTGCAGATCAATAAAATCAAGTCTATGGAGAGGACCAGACCTAAGTGATCCAAGTGATTCATCCAAGACATATTACTGAGATTCTTCTAAAGCAGGGGTTCTCAACCTCAGCACTGTTGACGTTTGGGGCCTGACCGTTCTTTGTTATTAGGAACTGTCCTGTAGGACACTGAGCAGCATCCCTGGTCTCCACCCCCTAGGTGCCAGCCGCATCCCCCCAGCTGACTATGTCAATCCAAAATGTCCCCAGACATTGCCACAAGTCCCGTCGGGGACTGAAAATCCCTGCTCCTACAGGAATGCTGAGACACCTTTTTCTTTTCTTTTTTTCCTTAATGGCCAATTTAAGACAAAACTGTTTTCAGGTCTTGTGTTTTTTATTCAAAGCGGAAAAAGGTTTATGGAGTCCCGTGGGGAACAAAATGTATCTACTTGCATCTTAAATTACCCACG